AGAAAATATAGTTTTTATCCATGAACTGAATGATGTTATTTTCATTTTGAATTTTAAAAACTTAAAATGCAAAATGAAAAGGTTGTTCAATATCAGTTTGGATCATTTGAAAGGCTCAAAGATTAAAAGTCCTAACGAGGCAAAGTCAGTAGCTTCTCTAACATCATTATCCAGTAGCTTTGAGACCTCAAGCCTTTCACAGCTGCAAACAAGTGGCCTTTTGCTCGGGTGTGGTCCAATCAACCACTTGTCTTAACAGAGGCCTCTCTGGGTCCTGGATTTTCCTTTCCAGGTTTATTTTACTTCCATTGGGAGTGGTGGATGGGGTATTAGTTTGGAGAGATGGTTCTCAGCCCTGGTTGCACAATAGAATTATCTGGGGGAGAATTGCCTGGGAAGTCTGTTTATAAAGCAAAACTGGCAGCTGGGATCCACCTCCCAGAATTTCAGTTCTGAGTACAACCTACTGAGCCCAGATCACCGTGAGTGCTGTGAGGGGCACTTCTATGGAAGAGCAACTCCCTCAGCACAAACTCAGACTTTTTAGACTCAGGCCTGATTTCTCAGCAAGCCCACAGGCAGCAAGTTAAAGACGAGACTATTCCTGAAGAAAACAGAGCACTCCCTAAACTTTGTACAATAAAATATCCCCCGCACAGAGTACTCATAGGTTGATATATTAGCTAGAGTGATATTGGACTGAAAGTGGTAAAAAAAACCCAAATAACAATGGCTTAAATAAGATAGATAAGATTTTTCTCCCTCGCATAAATACAGGCAGTCCGGGGCTGGTTCGATGGCTTCACAGTCAGGAAGCCAGGCTACTTCTCTCTTTTTGCCTATGACAGTCCAAGATAAAAGCTTCAATTCAGACATCATGTTCCCATCCCAACCAGCAAGGAGGACAGAGGGAGGGGAAAAGATGTCACACTCCCTTCACAGGCACTTCCCCAAAATTGCACACACCCCTTCTGTTTCTATCTCATTGGCTACTACTGAGTCAAATGGCCATGCCTCCCTTCCAGGGAGATTGGCAAATGTAGTTGTTGTGCTGGGCACTTCCCCAAAATTGCACACACCCCTTCTGTTTCTATCTCATTGGCCACTACTGAGTCAAATGGCCATGCCTCCCTTCCAGGGAGATTGGCAAATGTAGTTGTTGTGCTGCAAAGTCATGGCCCAACTAAAAACTGGGTGCTCCTTTGTCCTTGAAAAGGAGAGGAAAAATCCTTGGAACTAGACAACACTCTGTGCCTCAGGAGGCCTCCCTCCCCCTCCTGCAGCAAGATTATAACTATTAAGTTACATGTAAACAACGTATTTTATTGGGGTCCCTCTGAAAACCACTGACATGAGGCTATTTTTCTTGCATCCCAAATTTCAGCGGCTCTGGCTCCCACTGCCCTAAGAAATCAATCCGGCAGGAAAAATATTCCAAGGGAGTTCTTCAGAAGAGCACCAGGCCCTAAATCTAATGCCCATCCACTGTGGTAGACTGAGTGACCTACACTTACGGAGAGAGAAGGGAACTGTCTTCTCTGCAAATTAATTTCTCCAGATTTATACTAATGGCAGGAGCTCTCTCTCTTTCATTCTGGAAGCAGCGCAGATTATTTTCACTGGGTCGTAAATATGTTGAACACTCGATTATACTAACCTTTTACACCAGTTGTCTTGGATGGCTGCAAATCATAGTTCAGGAGCAACTTTTGAAGATTTAAAGGGCCCTGAAATTCCTGGATGCTCTAGCTAAATACCTGGGATTAAGAGTAGAGGGTGTAGATCTTGCTAAAAAATTCATTTCAGAAGGAAGAAACTAAATCCTTTGGGCTCATTCCTGGTTTTTCTTCTTTTTCTGTTTTTATTTATTTATTTAACTCTTTACTCAGCTGAGGCTAAGGTGACAATTGGTAGTCAAACCATCTACTTGCTTTCTTATATTGGGTCAACTTTCTCTCCTCCTTCCCCAGTGTTCCAGGACCTGTGGAGGGGGCATTCAGAAACGTGAAGTTCTCTGCAAGCAGCGCATGGCTGATGGCAGCTTTCTGGAGCTTCCTGAGACCTTCTGTTCAGCCTTGAAACTGGTCACCCAGCAAGCCTGCAAGAAAGATGACTGCCCCAGTGAGTGGCTTCTCTCAGACTGGACAGAGGTGTGTATGTCCCTCAGGAGGACAGAATAAAAGAGGCATGAGTAGGGAAAGAAGGCATCCCTAACATATATGTACAAAAGGCAAAAAGAGAACAAAATAATTCTCCTGACATTATGGAATAGTATTTTTGTAACCATTTATACTACAGTGGGTAACTAGCTCCTAACTAGGCTGTAGGGACCTGAGTTATGCAGCCAGCCCTTGCCCAACAACCAGAAGCTTCGAATTGTAAATGGGGTCCTCATGGAACAAAACCAGGCCTTGCTAGTGCTGTTTGGGCCCAGGATTCTTTTCGAATGTTGGGTTCTTCTCCCTCTATCTCCACACCCTACCCCTCCTCCTGACCTCCCTGCACCTCCTACTGCCAGATGTTTCTAGTTTCTACTCAGGAAGGGCAAAACATCTCTCATTTTTCTCTTCCAAGTCACTGGACAATAAAGGACATGATTTATTAGGAAAAGAAGGCCAAGGAAATCCTGCCTCTTTACTGTATCCTGGCTCTGAAACTCCAACAACTTCCCAGCAAGAGAATTTGATTTCCCCTGTTGCCCCACATTTTGGAAGTGATTGCATCAGCACTCACCATTCCCAACTTCACCTCTTAACTTAGGGATATACTTCCAACTAACCTATTTTCTAGATAATTCTTGTCTTAATACTGTGTAAGCATTAGGTTGCTTATCTGTAAACTGGAAATGTAATAGTATCCACCATGCAAGTGGGAGGCTTAAATTAAATTATGTATGTAAAGAACTTTGTGCTTAGCAAAAGGTAACCCTTATTGTTAGGATTCTCTTCCATCCTTCTTATTGTCAGGAGAAGGAGAGGAAATAGAAGGAAGCACTCATCTTGACTGGCCGGACCTGGGGCCACGGGCCAGGTCTCCTACAGGCTTTGCTGGTCTTCCCAGGAGGAAGAAGTTACATTTTGGGAACTAGAAGTAGTTTGGCCTTAGCCAAGAAGTGTTATTTGGTTTTGAGCTATGTGGGTTGATGAATGGAAATTCCAAAACATTAGAGGGGAGCTGGGAATGGTGGGAAGTCATCACTGGGAATAATCTCAAGCTGGAGCCATGCTCCTAGAGCTGTTCTTGAAGGTGCCACGCTGGCCCTGTCATTCTGACGGCCATTCCCATGGCCCTCTGACTGAAAGGAGACATGCATTCCACACCCCCCACAAAACTCCCCTTGGAGAAAGGAAGACCTAGATGATCTATGGGTGTTTTTCATCCTGAACTATCTGGGCTCAATCTCATGGTTACTGCACAGAATCCCTCAGAGACAGAATTAAGCCAGAGTTTTAGACATTTCAAGTAAAATTACTTGCAGATTCTATCCTGAAAGTAAGACCTCTCAAAAGGCCATACCTCTTTTCTTTAAAAGAAACACTCAATATCCTGAAAGAGTTGACTATTAAATATTTTTAAATCATATTTTTAATGGAAGTTGCTACCCCCCCCAAAAAAAAATAATATAAAAGAAATTAAAGTCAGGGTAGACAATTTTAGAGCTAGAAGGAAATTAGAAGATCCTATAGCCTAATTGTTTTTATTTTTTAATTAAAACCATAGAACCCTTTTTTTTAACGAAATGTTACTAGGAAGCAAAAATCTAAAACAGATAAAATCAGAGCTGTTTGGTTTGAAGTGTGGGTAGGGGTTTCAGATCTCCAATGGCTGGGTCTCCCCGTCACCTCAGAAGCCCCTGAATCACTCCTCAACATAGTTATGAAACGCAGTTTGAAAATCTCTTCACTAGCGTAGCTTCCCTATTTTAGAGATTTGAAAACTAAAGCTAGAGAAAGAACTAGACCAAAATCACAACCCGATCTTCCGACCTTCAGTCTCACTATTTTTTCTACTTTTCTCCTTGGCAGCACTAAAATGACCATGCTTTTAAATTCTCAGCCTCCTTACTTACCTCCATCCCACCTGCTCCTTGGATTTGGTGTTGTAGTTTACAGTACAATGAGTGATGGGTGGAATCTGGAATCCATAATCATCAGGCGATAAAAGCAACGGGTTAGATTCTCATCCCCATCTCTTGCATCTTAAATTTCTTTCAGGGGGGGTGTGTATCAGAGCACATCACACAGAACAGTGTCATTTCAATGTGTTACCATATAAATGGGTTAGATTCTCATCCCCATCTCTTGCATCTTAAATTTCTTTCAGGGGGGTGTGTATCAGAGCACATCACACAGAACAGTGTCATTTCAATGTGTTACCATATAAAACTCGAAAACATAGAAAATTGTGTTGCTCTTTTACTGTCATGTTTTCAAGCTAAGGTGGCACACTGCCATGACCCCTAGTTCAGACTTTTATCATCTCAAGCCTGAACTACTGTGGCAGCCTCCTTCACAGATGTCCCTGCCTCTCATCCATCTCCTACTCCCATCCCTCCTGGACACTGTTGCCAGATTAACCTTCTCAAAACAGCTCTTTCATCATGTCACTCCCCTCTTCAATGACTTCCCATTGCCTCGTGGACCAGTTCCATACCTCCTGTCTGAAAATTACGGGTCTCCAATGTCTGGCCCCAAACTACCTCTCAAGCTCCTGACACTCTCAATTTGGTCCCTCTGTTCAGTCAAACTGGTTTAGTTTTGTCCCCAAGCCTGCCTTGGACTTCTACACTCAACTCTTCTACCTTTGTTCTGGAAATTTCCTTGCCTCTCATGCATATCCCTGTTTCACTATACCTATGCACACTCCACCCGTCTTCAAGACCCAGGTCAGGAAATCCCTAATGTACCATAAATATTCAGTAATTGTTAGCATCAATTTTATAATACTCACTTGTCTTATAGTTTTATATTTTTACTAAATTATTTAATTACTACTATTCCTGTAAACAGCTTTGTTGAGGTGTAATTTATTGAGGTGTGATTATAAAATTAAACATAGCATAATGTTTTTAAGATTTATACACATTGTAGTATATATAAGAACTGCATTTTTTTATGGCTGAATAATATTTCATTGTTCATCCATTCACCAGTTGATGGACATTGGTTTGTTTCCACTTTGGGGCTATTATGAATAATGCTGCTATGAACATTTATGTACAAGTCTTTCTGTGGATGTACATTTTCATTTCTTTTGGGTAGATACCTAGGAGTGAAAGTGCTGGGTTGGATGGTAAATTTATGCTTAACTTTCTGTGAGGCTGTATCATTTTACATTCTCACCAGTGATGTACGAGAGTTCTAATTTTTCTACATCCTCACCAACACTTGTTATTGTCTGTCTTTTTTATTATGGCCATTCTAATGAATATGAAGTGGTATCTCATTGTGGTTTTAATTTTTATTTCTCTAACGTACTATTTCATTTTAACAGTGCATTTAGATTTTTTCCCCCTCATTTCAATGACAGCTCCTGAGGTTAGGAACTATCTTGCACATCTTTTCTCTGTAGCATCTAACACCCCACCTCAAACAAAGTAGATGCATAACAATTATTTAATGCTTGATGTTAAAATATTATCATTTATTTGTGAAGGAAGGAGAAAGGAATTTGCATTGTCATTTCTGTATATAGTATTTAAGATATATGAGGATACTTCATAAAGTTCATGGAAAATGGATTTAAAAGATAATATGAATCTTTCCATGAACTTTTTGAAGACCCCCTCATATTATCTCATTTAATTCCCAGGCTTGCAAAATAATCATAAGAACTGGAAACAGACCCAGAGAGTTTAAGTAACTTGCCAGCTAGTGAAATACTGAGCTCAGTTTTGAACACGTGACTGTACAACTCTGCAAATTCCGTGACACTAAAGCCCAGGCCATGTAGGTAAAAACAGGCAAAGTGTCTACAGGAAATCTTAGAGTAGAAGATCTTAGAGTGGAATGTGGCTACAGTATGGGCATGTTTTCCATGTTGTTACATCATAATTAACATTTCCTTCTCTCTTTCTCAGTAACTGTTGCCTTTCCAAGCAACTTTTCTCCTATTTTAATGGGTTTGAGGATCTGTACAAAAAAATGCATTAGCTTCTAGTTCCCTACATTTACAGGCCTGTGGCCTTTCTTTCTCCCCAGTGTTCCACTAGCTGCGGAGAGGGCACCCAGACTCGGAGTGCCATTTGCCGGAAGGTGCTGAAAACCGGGGTCTCAACTATCGTCAATTCCAGTCTGTGCCCACCCCTGCCTTTCTCGTCCTCCATCAGACCCTGTATGCTGGCACCCTGTGCAAGTGAGTATGTCAGTGCTCAGGGGATGGGGAGATGGGACCCACTTAGCAGCAGCCATGGCCACCACACTATGGCCTTCCCTAAACCCAAGACAAGTGGGCAGCAAAGCCCGGTGGAGGGCTGCAGGGCTGAAGAACTTAGCTGGAGACAGAAAAGGAATCTTAATTACACGTGGCGGGGCTGAATTCTCTTCTGCACTGGAAGAACAGTTTGCAGGGGGTGGAGCAAAGTTCACTTGCTGGCATACAGAGATCAGGAAGCTGCAGGCAGCATATTGCTAATGAAGTCTAATGTTATCCACTCTGGGGTCTTAAACTCCTCTAAACAGATTTGTTCTATTGAACATTAGTCCCCAGAGTCCTAACACTTCTGGACTCTCCTCACCGTGTGCACCAGGGCCCTGGTGCTTTGCAGGACCCAAAAGGTACACATTTAAAGGAGGACATTCTCCTTTGTCCTCTGCCTCTTTTTATGATGCTGGTTTCTTTTTTTTTCTCCTCCCTCCCCCCAATGTTTTTAATGAGAGGAACTGCCTCCCCCTCCGTGCTCCCCGTCCACCTAGAACCCCGCACCTCAGTTTCTGGGGCCGAAAGACCCAGCAGGGCAGTGTGCCGGGCGCCGGGCTGCACCTCATTAGCTCTCTAGGTTTTGATGGTGGCAGCAGCTTGCGGGTCCACAGCTGGGAGCCAGGTCCTCCCGTGAACCAGGAGGCGGTGAACGACGGCCCTGGCCAGAGCAGGCTCTAAACAGCTCTCTCCCTCTCGTCCTGTCCTCCCCTCGCCTTTGCCTTCCGTCTCCGTGCTGGCGGCGTCTCCCTCCGGCTCGGCTCGTGGCGACAGGGCCGGGGCGGCCGTCCCCCAAGGCCAGCCCGCACATCGCGGCGGCGCGGAAGGTGTACGTCCAGACGCGCAGGCAGAGGAGGCTGCACTTCGTGGTGGGCGGCTTCGCCTACCTGCTGCCCAAGACGGCCGTGGTGCTGCGCTGCCCCACGCGCCGGGTCCGCAAGCCGCTCATCACCTGGGAGAAGGACGGCCAGCACCTGGTCAGCTCCGCGCACGTCACCGTGGCTCCGCTCGGCTACCTGAAGATCCACCGCCTGCAGCCCTCGGATGCGGGCATCTACACCTGCTCGGCCGGGCCCGCCCGGGAGCAGTTCGTGATTAAGCTCATCGGGGCCAACAGCAAGCTGGTGGCCCGGCCCTTGAGCCTGCACGGCGACGACGAGGCCCTCCCGGGGAGGAAGGCCAGCCCGAAGGAGGCCCTGCAGACCCACAAACACCACAACGGCATCTCCGCCAACGGCAGCAAGGCCGAGAAGCGGGGCCTCGCCGCCGACCCGGGGAGCCGCTACGACGACATCGTCGCCCGGCTGCTGGAGCAGGGGGGCTGGCCCGGGGAGCTCCTGGCCTCCAGGGAGGTGCAGGACTCCACGGAAAGGAACACGTCCTCGGAGGAGGATGCGAACGCGGAGCAGGCCCTTCTGCACCTGCCCTTCACCATGGTGACCGAGCAGAAGCGCCTGGACGACATCCTCAGGAACCTGTCCCAGCAGCCTGAGGAGCTGCGCGACCTCTACGGCAAGCACCTGGTGGCCCAGCTGGCCCAGGAGATCTTCCGCAGCCACATGGAGCACCGGGACATGTTCCTGAAGCCCTCGGAGCAGAGGGGTCCCCCCGTGGCCATCCCGCCTCACAAACACGTGTCTGGCTTCAGCAGCTCCCTCAGGGCCTCATCCTCGGCCGAGGCGGGGGGCGGCCCTCGCCGGCCACACCGCAAGCCCACCATCCTGCGGAAGATCTCCGCGGCCCAGCAGCTCTCGGCCTCGGAGGTGGTCACCCACCTCGGACAGACCGTGGCCCTGGCCAGCGGGACGCTGAGTGTGCTTCTGCACTGCGAGGCCATAGGCAACCCAAGACCTACCATCAGCTGGGCCAGGAATGGAGAAGAGGTTCAGTTCGGCGACAGGTGAGCCTTGCAAATACCTGGGCTAGGAAGGGATGGGAAGGAGGGGAGGGCACAAGGGGCCACGTCTTGCCCAAGTCATGCTATTCATATGTCCTTCTAGGTGTTTCCAAGGTTAGAACTTAGAGCTCTGGGCTTTGAGGATCACATCCTGGGTTTCAGGTCCTCTCTCAGCACTGACTGTTGAAACACAACAAGCTATTTTTCTCTGAACTGCATGTTCTTATCTTTATAAGGAAATAACAACCCTACCTACCTAGCCCCATCCTCATAGGATCCTAAAGATGAATGAGGTGCTCTCTGGATAGCTTTGAATTTTTGGCAGAAAGATATCATTCCAGGCCAAGGCATTATTATCTTACTAGTTTGTGAGATGAACCACTGAAAAGCTGCAACATCAGGACATTGTTTCCATGTGTGCGGTCCCCCAGGACTGGGCAGAGCATGTGGCCAGCACCTGCTGCCCCCACAGATGAGCCTGTCCTGTGCCTGAGCTGGACAAGGCTATTTATTCCAGGAAGCTTTTATTCCCAGTCAGACCTGTGATTAATTATCCTAATATCTCTTGGTGTATCTGTTTCGATGTGTCATTATCAGTACAACAGCACTTACTGTTCTCCTTGGGCTATAGCCATTCATAATATAAAAATCAATAGAGGTAGTAGAAGTAACAATAACAGTATCTGAGACCACTACCTATGTGCCACGCACTTGCCAAGGTTTCTACAAACATTGTTGTCTCTTTTCATCGTTACAGTAGCCATGACACCAACAATGATAGTTGGCATTAATTGAGTAGTGATTTTGTACCAGGCAAACGTAAATTCTTTATGTGCTTTATCTCACTGAATCCTAACAGTAGCCCTGAGAAGTGCTACAGTTTTTATCCACACTTTACAGAAGAGTAAACACATAAAGTTAAGTAACTTGCTAAATGTTATGTTTATTAGGTGGCAGAGCTAAGATATGTGACAAAAATAAAGTAGTCACTTAAAGAATTATAGAACCACGGTTCTCTAGTCTAGATTTCTCATTTGAACCTTGTGTCTTCTCTGAACCTAATGCTCTTTTCATTCAATCTACATCTAAATACCACTGACTAATCCTCTTCTCTAGTTTGCTAGCTCCAGGTAAGGAAGAAGAGAAGCCAGCGTTTATTTTACCGTGCACTATGTCAGGTCTATCTGTAAGTAACTGCATTCGTTATTGTAATAGTCAATTCACAAGACTGATGTTATTCTAGCTTTACATAGAAAACTGAAGTTCAGCAGCTCGCCTAAGATCACCCTTTAGTAAGAGCTGGAACAAGGATTCAATATCAAGTTTATTTGGTTCCAAAGCGCAGTTCTGTCTACTCTTCTGACACTTCTGTTCACTCATGTGAACCAACATAACTTTTGACCATCCTGTCCACGTCTTTTGTGCCTTTGAAATGTCAATAACATTAGCTCTCAGACTTGATACTTTTTCTGTGTGCTCTTACTATATGACAGACACTGTGTTCAATGTTTTATGGAATTATCTTATTTAATCCTCTAAAACAACCCTATGGGGCAGGTACTATGATTGTTACTACATACTAGGTAGGAAAACTGAGGCACAGATGTTGAGCCCACAGAGAAACACAAGACAGTGTGACCCGCAGGCAGCACGCCCCGAGAGCCTGTGCTCTTAAACTCTCTTCTTGTTTGCTCTTCAGTCCTCCCCAGCTCATACTCTCCTTGATCAACTTACCTGCTGTGATCCCTGTAGTTTTCTCCAAAAATCTTTACAACATGGTCATACAGACTGCATTCATCTCCTTCGAGGTCACTGGCAGCTCCAGTGTCAGGCCCCAGGAGGATGGGTGTTGGCTGAGACTGGTGCCCTGGAACTCACTCCTATCAATGCACCTGGCCTACCTAGTGCCCACATTATGCCGTCCCCTCCACCAGCCAGTCAGTTTCTCAAGTGTAGGTACCAAGTTTCATTTATATCCCCTGGGCCTATTTCCCAGCATTGGTACTATTGGGATTGAAGGGAATCACAGTTGACTGTGTGAGGAAAAAGATGGGAATCAGCATGTCTGGACTCCATGCTAACTACACTGCACCCCATGCTGGGAACTTTCATAGCCATTATCTTCATGAATGTCCCCCAGAAGGCATACCATACAAACTGTTATCCCCATTTTAGAGACGAAGAAACCAAGGCTCAGTAGTTGAAGAACTGGACCAATGTTAAATAGCTAGTAAAAGGCAGATCAAGAGGGATCCAAACCCAGTCCTGCCCACCCAAGCCCACGATGTTTTGGGTGCACAAGTTCATGCTTGGGTGCATCTCCCATGCTTCACTAGGGATGCCAAGTTGCCTCTAGACCCTTGCTGTCTTCCACCAGCTATCTTCAGGATTTCTTCCTTTCAATAGCCACTTCTTCCTCCTAAAAGCTGTAGAACAGACAGGGCACTGGGAAGGGGGTCATCAGGACTCGACTCTGCTTTTGACTGCAGAGAGAAAATTGAAGCTATGGCTTACTCGGACATCTTGATGATTTCCTTGAGTGCTGGAGACTTTTTATGAGTTGGCTGCTAGGTCACCTGCCAACTACAGGACTGATAGGGAAGCAGCTAGACGGGGATCGAGGGGTTCAGACTGACCTTGCCAGGGTCCTAACTTTTTGTGGCCTTCGTCTCTTCATTTTAAAAGTGAGGGGGTTGGGCCAGAACATCTCTGAGGTCCCTTCTACCTTATTCACTCATTTACAAAAGGCCACGGAAGGTTAAAACCCATATGTTGATGAGGTGTGGGGAGATCCTTGAGCACAATAACTTAAAAATTGGTTGTACAAGTTGTTCTTGAGTGCTCCACAAATCAGAGTTCAGTGATTACATGAGTTTGAGAAGTGCTCACCTAAAGCTAAACAGATGTATTTACTGCTGGATTTTATGTCTATTTTTTTAATATAGCACTTGATTTTTTATTATAAAAGTAATAAAAGGGCTATAAAACAATTCAAATAATATCTAAATCTGTAAAGTAAAAAGTGCAAGTCTTCCTCATCCCTCCAATTCTGTTCCCCAGAGGATATCACTTTTAATATTTTGGTATACATCTTTTTAGAATTTTTCTATATTTTATTGTATTATATAAAATATATATATACACAATGGGACTTGGGTTTTTAAATGGGATATTAGTCATGTTCAGAAATTTGACTCAGTTTTTACTTACCAAAATGACTGGGAGACTTTCTCGTAATAGAAGTAGAAATCTATACCCCATTTTTAAACAGCTGATTACTGTTCCTGATGCATTTAACTAGCCCCCAGCTGAAAATTATTTGGGGTTTTCCATTTTTGTAAAGTCTTTTAAGCATTCTAATGTGTGTTGTGACTTTACAAGTGGACAGTGTAGTCTGCAGTGTTTTCGAGGTATTCCTTTGATCACTGAACAGGTTTTTTGGCTTAATAATCTCAGGAACACCAATAATTCTTGAAACAGCACTTAAAAAACACTACTTTAGCTTTTAATCTTCACCTAAATGGGCATTGAGAGTCTAACCCCAATGGCTTTAAAGTGGAGAAGGTTCACCAGAATCTTGCTAGAAAGAGAGCCATGGCAGCCAGGTGCTAAGGATACTGAAGGTGTTGGGCCTAAGACAGCAGAGGGCAGGTGCTGCATTTTCAGTCATTCAGGACTTTGGTTGGGGGTCAGGGGTAGTAGTAACAGAGAAGGCACCTGAGGAGCATGGACAAACAGTTTTTGCCACCATCAAGAATTTTTTTTCCTAGACAAATCTTTTCAATGCAAAGTCAATGGCATGCAGTAGGGAAAAATAACAAATTTCCATTTCTGATCTTTGACATTATAGTTTTTCCATTTTACTTGGCTGGCTAGTAAGAAATATGGCTGGAGCTTAGTTTTCTATACAGTTTTTCAAGGTCCATTTGAGAAAAGAGTGACTGTATCTGCACAGAGCATGCAGGAGGCACAGAGCTGCCATTGGGACTGCTTTGCTATGGGCTGTTGGTGACCTCTTCTGTGTTGGGTTTCATTTCTTGTCATCATTACTGTGCTAGTCGCAGTTCAGAAGTGCTCATTTATTTTCAAACAGAAAAGTGCTGAAATGCCAGTGTTATAGTTCAGTTAGTCTGTTTTTGCTTAGGGGCCAAATCCACCTTTCTGAGAGTCTGCAAGATTCAGCTTTCTGTCGGTCTATAGGACTTTGCAGTTTATTAAAGTATGTTATAAATAGTCTGGACCAGCAAGAATAGGTCAAGGTAGGAAGAAAGTGACTGAGTGAAGTCTGTTACTTCTTTGGCATTTTTAAAAATGCCAAAGCTTGATTTGAAAAAAATTAGTTTTATGAAAGAATCACTAACATTTCAGATATACTGCAACTCATCATACATATACAATATACTAGTTGAAATGAATTCATGTGACTCTCAGAAGCATAAGTCAACTTCGCAAGCAGTAGTTTACTGTGTTTACCTGAGTGTATTATGACAGGCCAAGTCATTGTAATCCCTCCTTCCTTTTCTGCAAACATTCCTATATCTACTCTGAGCCAGACGCTATGTTAGATACCAGGCATGGAGGAAAAGAAGACTCATTCCCTGTTGATGAAACTCAAATTCTAGTTTGGAAGCCAAAGAAGTAAACTCAGTGTTATAAGTGCTAACAGAAAGGTATACATATTTATTCATTGCAGAATTATTTATTAGCTTACCTGTTATATGCCAGATACACATCTACTCACTGGGAATATTGTGGTGAACGAAACAGAAGTCTGTGTTTTCTTGGAGTTTACATGCAATGAGAGTTTTGCTAAATGGTACACATCAGAGAGGCCTTCCCTGACTCTCTGTCTGCTACAGCACCCCTCTTCACTTCTATCCCTTTAACTATATTTTATTCATAAAACTTATCATCATATGCTGCATTATTTGTTGAATTCCTGTCCATGAGGGTAGAGCCTTTCTTTACTGCTATATCCCCAGTTCTGAAAATAGTAACTGGCA